CTGTCTTCTTCCCTGGGGCCCTGATGCCCCCCCTTTCTTACCCCGCCCCTAGCTCTTCCCCCTTCGGGCAAGTCATCTGGGAATTCTACTTCCTATCCCTAAGGACTAGGCCTCCCAATCCATCTTCTGGACTCTAGAGGAAAAACGGGTGGGGGAAGAGACAGGGACGATCCCACGTTAGGCATTGGGAAACCTAGATTTCAGTTCTGACCTAGATGTGAATTTCCTGCGTGACTTAAGTTCACTACCCCGTCTGGGCCTCAGTTTCCTCATCTCTAGCAGTGGGAGGAGGCCTTACCAAGATGGAGGTGAGGATGGGGGCCTTTAGGATCCACCACAATAATGAGGAATTGATGACGTCCCAGCATCTGGGTAGGGTATGGTAGGGGAGAATGACAGAAGTTGTCCTCAGCCACAGAGAGAGTCAGCAGTTCTCCAGTTGTCCCCAGCTCTGCCCCCAAACCCTTTAGAGACCATGGGCCAGAGTCTGTTGCTCCCAAGCCCCCCACCCCCTCATCCCCCTCAGGGGATCCTGCCCCAAGTGACGGCAGCCAGGAGGAGGGGGCAGGGTGACGGCTCACCCACGATCCTCAACATAGATCCTGGTGATAATCCACACCATGATGAATATGCTGGGCAACCCTGTCAGGGCCAAAGGAGCGAGGAAGGGAGGAGAAGGCATGGAAGGCAGGGAGAGAGGGCACCAGGGACAGATTAGGGAGAAAGAACCAGAGAGAGGGAGGGAGAGAGAAAAGGGTGGGTTACCAGGTCCGCCCTGTATGGCTGCATAGGTTGCTCACTGCTCCACTGAGGGGTGAAACGGTGCCTAAGGGGCTGTGTCCACCTAGAGGGAGAGTCTTTCTAACTTTGGCAGAGGCACTTTATACACTAGCAGTGGCCTGTGTGTTTCAAGAAGCTGCAAGGATGATCATAGAATCTATGGGTCCCACAGCTCAACCCTGGTACAGCTGCAGCCTGAGGGCACCTGCCCTGGGTCACACATTTGGGGGATTTTTATCAACCCTTGGCCAAGAACTTTGCAGGCAAGACCTACAGCCCAGCAAGACCTAAGACTGCAGGCTGGGTTGGCACCCACCCCCTGGTGAGCTCTTTGGGCCTTATCCCCTCTATCCCCAGCCTGAGCCCTCCCCGGTACCATACCCCAGCCGATGAGTATGTACCCCCAGAAGTACTTCCGCTCGGAGAAGGAGGCCGCAAGCAGGGTGTGCAGGTAGAGGCCCTCCACCAGCAGCCAGAAGAAGTTGGCCATGACGCAGTACTGGAATAAGACCATGGCTGCCTTACAGCCCACCTGCAGGGGGAGGATAAGAGAGGCGGCTCAGTGGGGCTAGCCGGGGTCCCTGCCTGCCCACATCTCTGTCTGGGGTGATGAACACAGCTGCTGTACAGCCAGCTTAATCTTTGTTATTTTTGCATTATGCCCTTAAAAATGTATTCAGTGGTTTTTCAATTATCCCTGATTTTAGATCATCTCATGCTTTGGAATAAGCTTGTGATTTTAATTATCCATCCATCAATTTATTCATCTTCTTATGTATGTATCTACCCACCCACCTATCCATCCAATCATCCACCTACCTACCTCTCCATTTATCCATTTATTTACCCACCCACCCACTAGACATCTATCTATACCATCCATCATCTATTCATCTTCCCATCTATCAATTCATCCACACACTCACCTGTCTATCTCTCCACTCATCTACCTGTCCACCTACTAGACATCCACTACCAACCCACACACCTAGCCTTCTATCCATTCACTCATCTATCTACCTGTCCATCCATCCATCTACTTATCCACCCATCCACCCCTCTACCCATTATCTGGCCAATTTGTCTTACTTCATCCATCCATCCTTCCACTTACGCAGCCATCCATCTACCTTCCCATCCACTTAAACCACCGCCCCACCCCCACTACCTATTCACTCAACTTATTCCAATTAGGATTGAAAGTGGCTGGAAGAGGTATGAGGGAGAATTCTTGCCTGCATTTGCAAGAGTCCCTTTAATATATGGGATGTGGGCTGTGGACCGTGGACTGTGGACTGTGGACTGTGGAGTGGGGCCCAGATGGAAGTGTTGAGAGATGGGGGGAAGTAGGTGGGGAAGGAGAAATGAAGAAAAAGAGGAGAGGGGAGGGATGGCCGTTCCTCCTGGGGGCCAGAGGAGCTAGGGGAAGAATGGGTTCCCCAGGCAGGTGAGGACAATGGAGTCAAGGAGACCCATGAGTAGGACAATCAG